GTTTTTTCCAGCGCTCCAGCCAAAAAACTTTGCTTACTCCTGGTATAGGCCTATATATCTAATCAAAGGCTTTTAGTCATTTGCACATCTATAATGTTGTTATAGTTTTTGATGTAGTTTTATTAGGGGGAGAGAGAGATTTTCCTAGTCCTGTAACCTTTGTACATGCTACTTTGATTGATTAAATAGAAATGTTTTTGTGCCAGGATTACAGTATTGCTCCCCTCCCCAAGTGAAAAAATATTCTGGATTGTGGAATATGAATGTGTGCCATGAGTTAAAGAAAATTTTGTGGATGATGATTATGTTTATTCTGTACACTGAAACAAGGGGATGGTTCATCTGCTTCTCAGCTGTCACTTTGTAGTTCATACAGAAACTTTATTTATGAAGTATTTTTGTGTGCATTTTCTAACTAAAAACTGAATCTGTTTCAAGAGTTTTCTTTAACATTGCAGAAGTAGTACTATGCTTTTCAGTGTAGTTCAGTATACCAGCTTTAAATAATTTCTTCTTGATAGAATGACATTATAACATTTCCAGCAAAATGCAAAACAGTGTTATTAATAGAATATTACGTCAGTGCTGTTAATTACTCAAAAGTCAGTAAATATGGAATTACAATGTTCACAACTTTCATCACTGTACCTCAGTGCATTTGTGCATTTAAACAGGATAGTTACTGCATGATTTCAGAAGACTTGCAGGTATAAAAGTGCCACTTATGTGCACTTACCTAGGAATGAAATTTCTTTTATAAACGTACTATACCGTGGCCTTCATATCTTTCTGGATGTAATAAGACTCTTGTAACTGTGAAGTACAAATACAAGAGGTTTGAGAGAAGGATACTCTGAGAAACTTTGAATTTCCTGACATTTGTGTAATTGAACTCTCAAATTACATTAAACTGTTTTTATAAAATATCCTTTAAAAACTATTTAAAAATATGCAGAAAAAAACCAGATAGAAGTATAATTGGATCATCAGGGTGAGGTTCTAGAGGTAGTCTGGTGGATAAAAGATTTATATGTTTCCAGTTTTTTCTTTAAGGGTCCTTTCTCCAGAAAATGACTAGGCCTGGCTTTAGATAGTTTGTGATGTCTGATAACATTTGTATATGGTAGCATGGGGCAGGCTGTTTATGTTTACTGTGGAAATCATCATTAAACAAGATAACAGGAAAATGACTGAGACCCAAGTCTTCAGCACAGTATTGCAGAAGATGGTCATTATATTTCAAGTCAAGGTATCTAGCACAATATATAATATAATTTAAATAATAGCTTGTATTGCAAAAAAACCATTAAGAGCAACAAGTACTATTAGATAGTCCTTGGAAAATCAAGTATTTTAGATAGTCATCTATCTGTGTACCAACCAGTTCCAAAGAGACCTAATTTTACAGAATTAGAAAGAGTTGGTTAGCTGTGTTAGTTTGAAGCCAAGTAGAAGGCAAGTCAGAGTGGCACCTTATAGACTAACTTGTTTAGAAGCTATGAAAGCTCATGCTTCTCTGAGTGCGTTAGTCTATGACATACCATACAGCCCTGCCTTCTGACATTCTGCCCTGTAATAGACATTGTAGCAAAGTCCTGGCCCCAAGGGTGGTTGTGATGCCCATTGGCAGCCAAGTGACTCCTACCCCACTCTGACTTCTCTGGGGCACCCTCCCTTTTGACATTTTTCCTGCCGTGCCTTCCTTGATGTTTCTTATGGAGTACAGGGAGGCTGCCCCAAGGTCACAAAGTGAGCCCTAAGTCCTCAACCATCCAGTCTGTCTTGCTCCCTGGGGCACTAAACTGTGGCCCTCTTGGCCCTGTCAGTGCCTCAGGGCACCAGCCACCTTAAAGGGCTGCTTTAGTGGTTTCTGTCATCCTCTGTAGCCATGCCCATACTATGCAGATGTCTCTCCAGATTTTATCACACCAGCTTGTATGGGCTCTGACACTCTTGCCCTTGGTCCACCAGTTACTCTAGCTATGGCCTCCTAAGCCTGGGCCCACTTGCAGTGGCCTGGCTCCTCAGTCCCAGCCTCATCCTGCATTTGTGTGCTCTGGGCCCCTGGGCCCTGTCTCATGCATTGTAGGGCAGCCCTCAGCCATCAGAGTCCCTAACTCCAGGCCAGGCTGGCCTCACTGTCTCATTCCTCAGTCCTCTGGGTCCCTGACCCAGGTGTAAGGCAGGACTGGGCTGCTCACTGCCTGAACCAGAGCCTGCTTGGTCCCTGCCCCCAGGTCAGGCTGCTTCCACTCCCTGTGGCCTCAGCTCTCCCAGCCTCGGCTTGCACCAGCCCACAATCCTCTGGGTCCCCAACCCCAGGCTCAGCTGCTTTCACTGGCCTTGGGCATCCTAGCCTTGGCCTGCACCAGCCCACAGCCCTCTGTATCCCTGACCCCAAGCTAGGCTGCCTGATGCTGAGTGCTTTACGAGGCACTCCTCTGTGGCCTCCATAGCTCTCCTGTATCCACTTGGTCTTCCAGTATCAAGTTCAAAACACAAGCAAGGTGCTTGAAAACAAAATCTCCCTAACACTGCCCATTACACCTCTCTTGGGAGTCTCTCATCCTAGCTCCCCAGGGTGGCTTGGGTGCCTGCCTGTCTTAAATTCAGCAGCCCTTCTTTCCTGGGCACTCTTCTCCCTGCAACAAACAAGGGCAGACTGCGTGCCTGGGCTTGTGTCCCGAAGCCCTGCCTCTTCCTGTCATGTGGTTCCCCAGCCATACACAAGGGTTTCCACTTGCTGGTTGGTGACCTGCCTGCCCTTTTCTGCTGCAGCAGCTGCAGCTGCTTCCTGCCACATGCACCTACTGTCCCCGCTTAGTGCCAGGGGCCTTGGCCCCCTGTTACTGCATTCCATTCTGTAATATGTTAGATCTATTTTAAAGCAATCAGCATCTTCCATTGGAAGTGTAATTTATTTTGACTAAGGTTTACTAGATTCCACAATGTCAAGACTGCTGAATCCTTGCCTCAAAATATAGAAATGCATGTCAGAATCTAGCTTTCACTCAGATGTTTCAAACATTAGGTTTGTAGTAATGCATGGATTCTAAAAGAGAAGAAACGTGGTGTTGCTCTCTCCCCTCTGTGTGAGTGTGTGAGTGGGACTGAGTCCCTTTTTCTTGCCTTTCTTGTAATGCTAGAAGTTGGGTGGTTTCAGAACCCTTCCTGTCAGTCAGCTGGAGAGGAAAAAAGTCTTTTAAGGCATCGGGAAGGGACAAAGCATGACATTATTCCTCAGTATCTGATGGCCTTTGAGGTCTTAGCCCTCAAAATTTCTCCGCTTGCAACAGAAGAATAATTTTCACATTAGGAACACTTGGTATTTATGCCTTTTTGGTGGCCAAATCAATTGTATTGTTGTGATATTAAATTGTACATAGTATCCATGATTATTTTAAGATATTTTATAAAAACATATAGATTCAAAAAATTGGGGCAATGTATGCAGCTTATTTCTGTGGCTTACTAGACAATCTAAAACAACTAATGCCATTTAGAGAAGGTCATAATTATGATGAATATGAGTCAACAGTGTTCCCCTGTTGCCAAGAAGGCTAACGGCATACTGGGCTGCATTAGTAGAAGTGTTGCCAGCAGATTGAGGGAAGTAATTATTCCACTTTATTCTGCACTGGTGAGGCCACATCTAGAGTACTGTGTCCAGTTTTGGGCCCTCCACTACAGAAAAGATGTGGACAAGTTAGAGAGAGTCTAGGTTAGGGGGCTGGGGAACATGACTTGTGAGAGGCTGAGGAAACTGGGCTTATTTAGTCTGGAGAAGAAAAGACTGAGGGGAGGATTTGATAGCAGTCTTTAACTGCGTGAATGGTGGTTCTAAAGAGGATGGAGCTGGACTGTTCTTGGTGGTGACTGATGACAGAACAAGGAGCAGTGGTGTGAAGTTGTGGCAAGGGAAGTTTAGGTTGGATATTAGGAAAAACTTTCTCACTAGGAGGGTGATAAAGCACTGAAAGGGGTTACCTAGAGAAGTGGTGGAATCTCTATTCTTGGAGGTTTTTAAGTCCTGGCTCAAAAAAGCCCTGGCTGGAATTATATAGTTTCAAATGATCTTGTTTGAGCAGGAGGTTGAATTAGATGATCTTCTGAGGTCCCTTCCAACCCTAATTTTCTATGATTCGATGAATAGCATTTGTTATAAATCAAAAAACTAATTAAGGGAAGAGGCGGGAGGTCAGTATGCACCTATGGGGAAAACAATGTGTTCTGTGTAGTGTTTAAATGGTTTCAATTAAAAAGATTCAGAATAAAATGTAATTAACTAGTATCATGATTTTAGAGAAGTATATCACTTTGGAAATTGGCTAAACTGATTACATACATTTCATTGCAACATTATTTTTGACAACCTGTACTAAACTGGAATATTTCCATTGTTTTTTTCTTATAATAGACATGAAATCACTGCATTTTAAAAAATAATATTTGATGCATTTCCTTTTTCTGATTTTGTTTGCAGGATGAGGGAGAGGCTAAACTGATATGAGTGGTATCCTTGTTGCAAATTGTATATAGTGAACTCGTGGTGGTCTTTTTTTCAAGCTAATCATAATTAACTTAGGGGGTGCAAAGAGTGCGCATACAAAGGAAATTGTGGAGGTCTCTTATGTCATAGTTTGACCATTCAGATAACTAAAGGGTGTCTGCATTAAATTTCACGAACAATATCTTCTGTATTTGTCTTTGTTCTTAAGGAATGTGACATTTCACTACAAACGAAGTAGCTTGAGTTACTTTGGAGGGGTTTGTTCTGTGACCAGAGGAGTTGGAGTAAATGAGGTAACATTTTTCCCCCATTAAATCTTTCAGTGTCCATTTACCATTTTACTTCCACACTGCTTGTTGAATTGTTATATATTGAGGGCCTGATCCAACTACCAAAGACTGCAGTAAACGTTCTATAAATAGCAATGCGAACTGGGTTAGGCAAGTGACAACCTTTTCAGGCCATGTGTTGGAATAACCCATCTTGTGTCAGAGGTGAGCAGGGAGGTGCTAGGATGCAGCCACTACCAATGCTGCCATTTTCCCCCACTGCAGCATAGGGGAATCCCTGCCAGCAAATGCTGCTGAAACCTCACTTCAGCTGCATGGATCCAGTGATTTCACAGGCCAGATCTGGATTAATTTAGTTTTTTCCATTCGGATTAAATTTGTGCAAATATCCATTGTATTTATATGGGTTAAATTTGATAGTCAATTAATGAGCAGAACTGCTCTGACTAGAGTAATTGGTGATTGTGTTTACTTCCCTTGGTAAATGCATGGGGAGAGTCACAACTGGTCTGACAATATTGCTGTATATAATACTGTGTTTTAGGGAAACCAGAATAAAGTGTTGTAATACAAGTTGCAATAAGTAATTTTGTGTACTGCTGTTGCTGTTATCCCCTCCTCAATATAGTATGGCCTTCCATGGGCCATGGCACAGGAGTTAGCACAAAGTCTGGCTCAGAACCTTGGAATACAGTGGGAACCAGCAACCAGAAAACCAAGTATGTACTGTGCATGGCCTTTCCTCTGTCCGTCTCTTTTTTGTGATACAGTCAGTTAAATAAAAATTTACAATTATTTGGATGTACCTAACTTATAGCAATGATAGTATCCATCACTGAGTGCATTTACAAGTGAAATTAATGTGATGCAATAAATTCCAGAGTTTGTTAACTGCTCCCAGGTGCAGCGTCTGTATATGTGCCAGGACTGCCGCAGTTTGAGCAGCCCCAGGCTGGCAGGAGGCCCGGGGAATCGGCCCCAGGCTCCAGGTGGTGGCATCAGGTGCTGGTGGGGCTGGCTCAGGCACGAGAGTGCAGAATCTGTGGAGCCATGTGTTTAGACTGCAGGCAGCCCCCACACTTCAGCAACCTTGTGCCCCAGCCAGCCCCTGTCACCATCTACACCAGGGGTGGGCAAACTGTGGCCCATTAGGCCATTCTATCTGGCCCGCAGGGCCCCTAAACATTTTAGAAAATTAATATTTATCTGCCCCTGGCTGCCTGTCATGTGGCCCTTGATGGTTTGCCAAAACTCAGTAAGTGGCCTTCCGCCTGAAATAATTGCCCGCCCCTGATCTACACACTGTCTATACATTTCAGCACAGTTACTTACTCTTGTCCTTGACAGTGCTGTCCTACCGTGGAGTTAATTAATTTATTGTGCCCTAATACTGGTGCACGTGTAGACAGTGATGCTTTACTGCACAGCTAACTAGTCAACTCTGCTAAAGGTGCCAAGTATCCTGGCCTCCCTCAGGAAGACGGCTTTCACCTGAAATGCATACAGCTGTCTGCATGTCCATCATCTTAGGCTCCCCACCCCCGCAAAAATAAGGCGGTGCCTATGAACTCTGCAGTAAAGCATCCACTGAGTATCATTATTTTCAAAAATAGTAAAGTACCAAAATTGAGGTTTGCCAGACCAAGGCCCAATAAGTTTTAGAGCTAGATTCTGAATGATAAACAGCCACCTACCTTGCATATATATTATTCAGGGTTCCTGTTTATGTAAAGAGTGTATGCTTGATGTTGGCATATTTATAACTGCTTGCTTTCTTTCTGTTGTATTTTTGTATTTGTCTGAGAAGAATGTGACTGCGTAGAATTCTGGGGTGGTTGCATCATGGAGGAAACAGGGTATGTTGTAATTGTTAACTGAAATCTAGGGAGATGAGATCAGTCTGTACACTGTTTATTTGTGGGATACTATCAATCTGTTTCAGAATTAGCTGCATGAAAATGTAGTAGACGTTATCAACGTATTTGTCCTGAACAATCCAACAGACAAAAGCTAAGGAATATAACAATGACCTGTAACATAGATGTTTTGACAAGAAGTAAGAAAATAGCTGAAGTTACTGGCTAAACATAGGCAGAATGTAGTAACCTACATAGGAAATGTTGCCATTATGCCATTGTGCACGATCCTCCCACACATTCAAAAAATAAGTTATGTAATCTTAAATTGACTGCATTTGAATATAATGTCCAAGATAGTTCTATTTGTTTAGGAAAACAAATGTAATCTGTATTCTGAATGCAGATTACATTTGTTTTCCTAAAAAAAGAAAAATTGCAGTTGTTTCATACTACACTACTTCAAAATTATGCCCCAAACCTTGTTGCACCTTAAAGTTGCTTCTGCTTGGGCCTCAGTTTTAGCTTCAAGGCGAATATGATCGTTGCAGCAAACAGCAAAGGAGCAACAATTTAGATGTATTTGAGTGAGGATTGCTGGGGCAGGTAAGACTCTGGCCTCACTGTCTCCTTCACCCCACTCTCCAGTGCTCAGTGTAATCCCCCTCCCACCTCTGCCCCAGCCACTGATTGCTCTCTATGCCTCTGTCAAGTACATGGTATCACCACATTTTATGTATAAAGAGAGAGAGTTAACCATGTTAGACTGAAGGCAGGCTTTCACATACAAAAGCTTATGCCTCTTGGAACCAGTTAGTCTCTGAGGTGCCACCCTACCCTGCCATCTTCACTGGATATATGCGTACCATAAGAAGCTTCTCCATCTTCCATCTCAGTGTTATGTTAGTAAAAATATTATAGGAATAACAGTTACATCCTCACCATACATTCATATAATAGAGATATGCAATTTTCAGAAATACAGGACTACATCGAATCTGTGGGTATTTTCCCCTCAAAGGTGAAAGGCTTCCCCTGAGCTGATCACATTGCCCTTCTTGTTTTATATAGCTATTGTAACTACGGTATTTACCCAAATCTAAATTGCCTGAATTTAAGATGACCCCCAAATGTTTAGCTTCTGTACATGAACAATTAATAAATGTGTTATAGTTTTCCATGTATAGTATCTGACTATTGGAGGGGTGTCTAAAATTCATCCTCCTACCACTGCAGCAGGGAAAGCAGTGACGGGGACAGGTGGGGGGTGAGGGCGGCAGGTGATTGGGAAAGTAGACAGGTGGGGGACAGGCAGTGGAGAAGAGAGTAGGGAGGCAGATGTGGGGGATTCAAGTGACCACAGTCCTGCCTGTTGCCCCAACCACTCCTTGTCCCTGCTGCCTGTCTGCCCACCACTTGTTCCCCTCTGCTGCATGTCTCCCTCAAGCCTTGTGCTTGTGCACCCCAACACCTGTCCCCACTATACCCCCTGCTACCACTTGCATCCCCCCCTTTCATCCCCTAGTGCCTGGTCCCCCTGCTGACTGCCTCCCCCCTCCCCCCCTGCTAGTTCTAACCCCTGCAGCATCTGTGTCCCATTGCCACTTACCCTTTGGCTCCAGCTCCAGCTCCTCTCCAACCTGGGGCATGGAGCATGTAGTTGCTCCAGCCCCAGCCCAGCCATGCATCAGCTCTGACCAGGCCCTGGAGCTGGAGCCTGGGCTAGAGCTGCTGCCAGCTTTGCTGCTGGGCTTGGCTGGGACCAGATCAACCACGTGTTTCATACCCTGGGCTGGAGCCCTGTCAGAGCTGGAGGATAAGCAGGGACAGGATGAGGTGGCAGGGCAGAGCCTGAGAGGGGTTGAGGGGGGAAGGCGGTGGCAAGGGTGGAGATGATGGGGGACCAGGGTGGGGGTTGGGACAGAGGTGGGAGTGAGACAACAGCTGTAGAGTTGGAGGTGCCCCCAATGTTGTAATGGAGTCCAAGAAGAAAGACTTCCTCTCCACCATGTTAAAAGGGGAAACTTGTCTTTGATTTGAATAAATATGGTAACCATCAACATTTACAGAACAAAGGAAGACTGTAACTTTATTCTCAAGTACCTGGCTATACAGAGGGGTATTTGCTCACTTGGTTGTTTGTCATTTTAGGGTCTTCCATTCCAGAAAATTTTCTAAGTGCAGCATTGCAGAATACAAAGAATTTTTACTTCGAGGTGGTGGTGCCTGTCTCTTCAATAGGCCAACAAAGGTAACTTTACATAAAAGATATTCTGGCAGTGGCTGTTGCTTCTAACAGACAGTGTGGAGAAGCTGAAATGTGGAGAAGCTCTAGGTTACACTTTAGTGTACACACCTCACCTGTCTCCCTCCCCCACTGGCCTGACTCCAGCCCACTGCCCCCTCTCCCTCTTTCACAACACTGCAGGTCCCTGCTCACTGCCTGCCCTCTCTCTCCTCCTTCCCTCCTCCCCCACTTACTTGTAGCTGCTTGCACTGTCTGTCCTGGGAGAGCAGGCAGAGGAGGGTTAACCTAACCTGCCTGCTGTCTGGGAGAAGAGCAGCAGCTCAGAAGCAGTGGAGACTGGGCAGACAGGTTAACCCTTCCCTGCCTACTCCCGTGGGACAGACAACACAGACAACCGTAAGTAAGTGGGAGGGGTGAGAGGGAGCCCCAGGGGCAGGGGAGAAGCCTGGAATGGGATGAGGAGGGTTTCTTACCTTTTAGTCCTCCAGGCCCCTGCTGGCCTGAACATGTGACTGTTCCTAATTTGAGCTAGCATTAACACTGGGGCTGGAACATATGAACAGTTCACAGTGTAGTGTATAACATGGTCCTAAAATAAACTCAGAGTTTGAGATGAGGAAGTAGTTCATTCAGTAGGTCCATTTAATTCCTGGATCCTGTGACCAAGTACATTCTAGGTCAGCGGTTCCCAAACTGTGGTACGCATACCACCAGTGGTACGCAGACAACCTGTGAGTGGTACGCGCATAGGCAGCAGAAGGCTGGGTGGGGGGGAAGGGCGCATGCAGGCACCTGGCCGCAGCCTGCTGCAGGCGGCCAGGAGCACAGCCTGGCTGTGTGTGGAGCAGTGCCCAGTGTGGGGAGGAAGGGGCAGGGGGGCAGATCGAGGCCCCCCTGGTAAGAGAGAGAGTGGGGCAGAGACAGAGGCAGGGGCTGGGGTGAATGGGGTCCCAGGGAGGGTTGTAGGATGGTTGGAGCCCTAGGTGACTCATCCAGGGGTATGGGGGCTTCTCATCATTGTGCATGCCCTGGGAGGCATGGGGGGCACGTGCCCCTTGGATTTGTGCGCTGGGCAGAAGTGGGCTGCCTGCTGCGTGCTGGGCTCTGTGCCCTGCTGCCATTGCTCCGGGAGCCATGGGTGATGCCATGTGCCTCCTGCATGCTGGCTGCACCATGTTCCCTGACCATTCGGAGGTGGGAGGCACATGGCGTCATGCATGGCTCCCAAGGCAATGGCAGCGGGGCTCAGAGCCCAGTGGGCAGCCCTCCTCTGCCCTGTGCTCAGATCTGGGGGGCATGTGCCCTGCATGCCTCCTCTAGGGTGTACACAGCAGTGGGAGCCCCCCCTGCACCCCTGGATGAGCCTCCCATGGCTCTGTCCCATGACCAGCCCCAGGTGTCATTCTCCCCTGCCCCTGTCCCACTCCCTCCCTCACCACAGAGACCTTGATCTGCCCCCTGCCCCTCCCCCTCCACACTGGGCATGTGTGTCTGTGCATGTGTCTGTCTGTGTGTCTCACCTCTCTCACTAAACATCCGCAAAAGCATCTCTGGACCAGTAAGTTTACACTGTCTTTGTTTTAATTTACAATTGTCTTACATGGCTACCGTAACTGATAATATGATGTTTTATGATTACTAAAGCTTTTCATGTTGTTTTAATACATAGTCTGTTACCTTTGTGTATGAAAAATTTGCTGGTGGTACTTAAGGCTGTATCATTTTATATTGGTGGTGCGCAATATAGCTGCTGTTCTAGGTCATTGAGAAAAGTGCCAATTGCAGCACTATATTTAGATAGCAGTATGGGGTCTACCATTCCAGAAATTTTTTATGTATTTCATAAGGGCCTTGAAAAACTGCTGTTTACTGTCAACCTGGATTAGATTAGAATGTTCACTCTAGAGGGAAAAAGTTCTGTGTTGTATTACCATCCTCTTTAGCCATTCAGTCCCATTTTGGCCCTTTGCCGTGCAACAAAATTACAATTTTTTGGATCATTACAACAGTGGTATACCACCCTATTAAACCCAAAGTATTGTAAAAATGCTCCTTTCCCTCTGTAAAACTAATTGACTCTATAGTCTAGCATTTTATCTCCTAGATGACAACTTTTAACCTTGAATAAGGCTATCTGTTTTTTCCTGACTTCCAATAATTGAAAAATGGTTTTGTGACTAATTTCATAATCACTGGCTTTTTATAGATTTCAAAAGAAAAATCCCATTTAGAATATAGTTTACATTTTTACCAGCCATTGCACTTAAATAACCATAAAACATTAGCATCTGAAGAGAGAAAAGCATAATTTAATCCTGAGTATGGTCATAGCAACATTACAGTTGACTACCAGATGAATATAAGTAAATCCTTAATTGTCTGAAGATGGAGACAAAGTCCCTTTTTCTCCAGTAAAAATGATTCTAGGAGAATGGTTGAAGTAGATTTGTGAATATTATTACAAGATGGAAAACTGAATTTCAGGATCAGATTAAGAGCAAGATATCTTGCTAAAACTATTGAAGTACAAAAATATTGAAAATATGTAGGCAAAAAATTAAACTTTCTAAGTTATGCTAAAACAATTTAGTGAAGAAGTGGGGATATATAGGTGTGTATAAAATTTTAGTATGCAGCCTGTCATTCATTGCCAAAACTGTGGGCCTTTGTGAAGAGCAAAATAGTTCATTTTTTAAAAATGTTTTTATCTTCCCTTTTGGTGTCATATTTTAAATTGTCCATCTGTTTTTCAAAAGCATCTAAAAATAATCCTTCCCAAATATATGATGTATGTTGTATTTGATTAGTAAAGTTTAATACTTTCATTGCTGCTTCTTTGCATTTGTGCTGTCAATGCCCCACTGAAGTTTCAAGTTCATTGTTTAGATATGTCTGATTAAATTCAGCAAAACAGCATGCAAATACGTGAATGTACCTGGAATAGTCAGTAGTACTCAAATGGTTCAGTGTCTTTGCTAACTTCAAAAATCATGATGTTTTCATATTCCTTGTAACTATACTTATGCTAAATATTTTTTAAGTAAAATGACAGAGCTGCAAAATAATTTTAGCTCTGCTTTTTATAAAAAGCTACTTCTGAGAGCTAGTAGGGCACTTTGTCCTGAAGAGGTTTAGTAAAGTGATCTTATTGCACTTGGAAGATGGAGATATAATTCCTGACTCAAAGAAAAATCATTAAGAAATGAAAAAATAGAACAAGAGGCATTTTAAAGTGACCTTTTAATGATGAAGTTGACTCATATGAGCACTGAATCACCATCATTTGGACAACTAAGCAGTAAAGAAACTTGCAGAAATATTGTTTTTCATTTACAGGGCATTGTGTTAGGTGCAACAGAGAGGGGTCAAAAGATAAAAAATGGAAACGGGGAAAAATTAGGAGAATGAATAACAAATTAACCAAATATTTTAGGTCACAGCTGAGTAATACAAGCTGTAAGTGAGAATTGTTAATGGTTTCCTTGATGGCTCAGTGGGTAGTAGCATGGTCTGCCCACAGGAGGTTCAAATCCTAAAGTGTTCTTGGGACTAATGGACATTTATACCTGTTCTCTGGGAGTTGTGGGGGAGAGGGCACTTTAATTAGAGTGGCTGTGCAAGGCACTTTAATGTGCCTGGAGTGTCTCATGTTTAGCATCTCCACACTTCAAAATGGCTTTATCTAACGCTTGTCGAACAAGCGTTAGATAAAGCATCCCCACTGCCATTTTGAAGCATGGGGGCGCTGATACACAAGACGCAGGAGACTGCTTAGAGTGTGGTAATTGCCATGCTCCAGCAGACTTGATTAATCAAGTCTGTTCTGACATTAGAATTGCAGTGCATTGGAGGAGCCTCCCTGCTCGTGTATAGACACTCAATATTTTTACCTAACAAAGCTGAATATTTCAATTTAAAAACCAAGCTTAGATCATTTTGCTAACTGCAAGCAACAGCATCTAAAAAAACCTACATCTAGCTTCACTAGTTGATGAAGATCTGATTTCCTGTTTTTTTATTATTGAGTTTTTGTTGTTCAGCCATTTACTCTTTCATCATCAACATAGGTTAGCATCATTTTTGGGTCCTGGGGATAACTTATTTAGCAGTATTTTATCTATACTCATTTGTCTAGCTTTTATTCCATAATTTTCTTCGAAAGTTCTTTTGATGCATGATTGATGTTTCTGAGTGATGGTTATTTTCAGTTTATCAAATTGTGACTAGAAATAAATCTTCTTCTTGAAGTAGAAATAAATCTCTTCTCTGTGTTCAGCTTCATTAGCAGGTACCTGCTCTATGTGCTTATATCATCCCCAAAATTATATTACCAACCAGTTTCTGAAAAAAATTGTTGAAATAATGGGAATGCATGACTGAACGCAGTTTATAATGTTGCTCCACCAAAGTATTAAGCTGTCTGGGTAGTTAATCCCTCTATTTACTGTATTTTTGTTTGCTGCTCCCAGGTAAAGCTGGGGACCATGCAACTATTCACACACCATGCACCTCTCAACAGTTAGTTGGCCAGCTGAATGAAGTGGTAGTAGGCAACATTTTTGCAGAAGTGTAGTAAAAGGCATGAACAACTGGTGCCTCCCGAGACTGGGGGGTCACCATTTGTAGGCGGCAGCATCAGTGGCGAGTGGAAACTGCCCACAGACCCCGGTGGCTGTGTTGTCGGTGGCAAGCGGGGACCACTTGCAGACACCGGCGGCAGGGGGGCAGCAAGCAGGGACCTCCCACATGCACCAGCGGCGATGTCAGGGCATGAGGGGCTGGTGATGAGTGGTGACCACCCGCAGAAGCTGGCAGCAGCTTCGGCAGCAGCCAATCTCAAGAGGGGCACATACCCCCCCTATGCATCACCTATGGTAGAAGGGGTATTTTCTGTGGGGTGATGGCTCAGCAGCAGTGTAGTGAGGGGCTGTGTCTTAAAGATTAGTCATTTGATACCATATATGCCTAATTGTTAGTATTTTTTGTCACTTTCAGTTGTTTGAAACTACTGAGTGTGGAAATGGTTATGTAGAAGCAGGAGAAGAGTGTGATTGTGGTTTCCGAAATGTAAGTTTAAAAGTTCAATATATTATTCTTGTCAGTCATTCTCATAATAACATATTGCCCAAAATGATATGGATGTTAAGAGGGAAAAGAAAAAGTATTGTACTGAACTTAGGCTGCCTTTCCTACTGGATTTTAATCAGATATTTGTGTTAAAATATTTGTTATAAAACCAAATATTTTCTCTAATGATAAATAAATGAGTATGTGGATTGCAGCAGAAACAATCTTGCAAATACACATCTTTCTGTTTCTCCCACTTTCCCAGGACACTCCATGTACAACTTTGAGAAATGCCTCTTAAAATGAATTGTAGTGGCTGAGCTCAGCAAGCAGTGAAGGCCACACTGGTGCTGAAGCAAACAGCCTCACATGATCTATACATTGCCCTGCAATCTTGGTCTTGCCCCCACCCCTGCTAGAGATGTAAATAACAATTAATTAAGTACCTGTTTAAACTCCCCTAATGTTATCAGTTAAACGGTTAACCAATAACATGCATCTGCTGGGGACCAGTTCCTGCTGTACTCAGTTGTTCTGCAGTGGCAATGGGCTGGAAAAGCCCCAAACCTGCTGCTGCTGCCCGCAGCTTTATGGGGCAGTGCTGCTGCTGCCTACATCCAGACCTGGCTCCCAGGCAATTGTGTGTTGATGGCAGCAGCAGGCTGCGAGAGCCTGCTGCCACTGACATGCAGCTGCCTGGGGACCAAGGCTAGCTGCAGGCAGCAGTGGCAAGCCCTGCCACAATCCCTGTGAAGCCATGGGCGGCAGCAGTACGCTGGGAAAGCCCCTTGTCCACTGCTGCCACTGGCATGTGGCTGCCCGGGGGCCAGGGCTGCAAGCAGCAGCACTGTTGTCAGCAGAGCCCTGGCTCATCTCATTGCTGGTGGCAGGTGCATATGCGCCTCATGGCAGATGGCGGGGGAGCTGCAAGGGACCCGATCCTTCTTGTGGCAGTGCAGTCCAGTCCCTTCCCTGCCATCCACCCTGAGGCATGCATGCACCCACTGCTGGCAATGAGCCAAGCTGGGACCCCGCAGACCTTGGTGCAGTTGTTTGCAGCCTCCCTGCTGCCTGCCACGAGCAACCTGGGCTCTGTGGCAAGCAGCAGGGACCTGCCTAGAGCCCAGGCTGGCTGCGGCAGGCAGCCGGGAGGCTGCAAGCAGCTGCATCAAGGCCTGCAGAGCCCTGACCTGGCTCATTGCCAGCAGTGGATGTATATGCACCTTCAGACAGATGGTGGGGGTGGGGCTGGGGCTGCGTTGTCACAAGAAGGATTGGGTCAATCACAGCTCTCCTGCTACTTCCTCACCGTACCAGGTAGTAGTTCCTCCTCTTCTCTCCCTTCCTCCTTTCTTACCTCTTGCCAGCCCTGCTGTCTTCAGGGGCACCATGCTGCTTCCCTTTTCCCTTTTCCCTGGCAGACTACTCTCCATTCCATGCTAAACAGTAACCAGTAAGGTATTACTGGCTATCAATATGTGAACCGTTTAACCATTCACATCCCTAGTCCCTGCCTGCCTGGCCCACTCCTGAACACTGCTACATACCCACCCGTGGCCCCATCCCATCCACCCAGCCAAACATACCCTGCTTGCAGGGTCCAGAGCCAGTCTCTATGGTATATTGATTCTTTTCCCTAATGATACAGGATGGAGTGTTGGGAAAATTGAGAAAGGCACTGTATTCAGAATGGAAGATTCATAGATTATTTAATGTATTTTTCTTTAGGAATGCTATGGAGACTGCTGTAAAAAGTGCTCTCTTTCTAATGGAGCTCATTGTAGTGATGGACCTTGCTGTAATACATCCTGCCTTGTGAGTCTTGATATAGTAAATCTGTTTACTCTTCTCTTATTCCTTTAGATCTAATGTTTAATCTGATAAAGTTCAAATACTGCATGTGCATATATTGGGGAGTTAAAATGTTTCTAAAGACCTAAGCATGTTTACTGACCTACAGACAGTAATGGTAGTAAATGGGGGAATGAGGTATACACTGGTATAACTTCATTTGTTAATTGTTTTATTTTTGCCATTATTGATATACAGTGTTATGCTGCTATCTGGAATCAGTTAATTCTGACACTATTATTATATATGTAGACATTTGTAAGAATCAGATATTGCGGTTGGTTCATGTGCAGTCCCCGGAGCAGGGGGTGGAGGGCATGTGCGTTCTGAGAACAGGGTGGGGGACCATGGGTTCCCAGAGCAGGGGTAAGGGGTAACAGCCTCACCCATGTCAGAACTCCTACACAGTCTTGGTTCAGCTGCTGCTACCACTACATGTGCTCTGCCAGCTCTGGCTGTGGCTTTTAAAATAGCAGCAGCTAGTGCTCCTCCTAAGTTAACAGTTGGGATGGTTGCCCCTTTTACCCACCCCTAGTTATGGTAGTGCCCCTACCCCATCCTAATGATTGGCATGGAGCTAAGCAATCCGGCCCAGCAGTCATGGTTCACCACCTCCCAGCCTACTGTGTCATGACCCCCAAACTCTTTGCGGAACCCCAGGGTTCTGTGGAACACAGTTCAGAAGCTGCTGGTGTAGACGAAGACCTAGGAATCTTGTATGAAGCTCAATGGTACGATATGGTAGATTATTAGTATATTTGAGAAATGTAGTACTACAGATAAAGCTACAGTGAGAAATCTTAAAGGCTGTGGGTTATATCTTTAATGCAGAGAAATCAGTTTTGTTCTTGCTTGAGGTTACCAAAAGCAGTTGTTTACATGAGAACTATCAATGTCATCAATATCAGGGGAATATAACCCATCTTGTGATCAAGGCTAGATGATACAGTTTCTCAGGTGACTAATTTAAAATTAATTTAAAAACACATGATAAGACTAGGTTGAAATATACTATATTTTTAGATAAATATTAAGTACTTTTATAGATTTATGCCACTGTACTTTTTATTTTATCTTTGTTAAATTTTTGTAACCCATAAGTAGGTATGCTGCTAATAAACTTTAGCAGGTTGGTTAGTTGTTTCTTTTCTTTAAAATCTTAGTATATTCTTCAGGATAGTTAGATTTTTTTTTCTTCACATATGGTTTGTTAATTATAATTAAAATGTTTGTAGCAGAGATGTACAAACATTTGATGCATCACTTATGAGGATTATTAGATTACTATTTTCAGTTGGAGTAAGAGGAAACAGCAAGTCAAAAAGTCTACATTTTGTTCCTAGATAATTCAGGAATAACTGAATCTCATGCGTGTATATTGCTATGACTTTGCTCTCACAAGTGCTATATAATGCATGTCCCTGAGTTAGCCATAAACCACTTATACATTGAAGGCTTTCTCTTTATTATTATCTGGGCAGACTTAAAAAATGTGAATACTGTAGTGAGATTTGTTTTAAAATCAAGATGCATTGCTTTGAAACGCAAGGAATGTTTCTGAACAAGAATCTCAGAATATCAGGAATTGTGCTTTTACATACTCTCAGTCCTAATCAATAGTCTTTGTTTTCTAGTTTTTCCCGCGAGGCTATGACTGTCGATATGCAGTGAATGAATGTGATATTGCAGAGTACTGTACTGGAGATTCTGGACAGGTATGTATATGTAAGCTCTTCTGCATACACTGTTATAGCTGATCATTTCTTCTTTTTTTATTCAAGTCTTAAAAAATTTAGAATTGCAAGATGATGGTACATATGTTTAAAATGACCAGTTCACCTTTTAATCTTTTTGGCTGCTTGCAGATGTTAAAAAAATAAACAAAACAAAATGACACTTTTATTTTAAACTCTAGGGCTAGGGGCACATAACATGGTTTAAATGATCAGAAACTGGTTTAAACCTGTAACAGAGCAGATGTTGAGTGCACATAAGCCAGTCTGAAAATGGCTGAAATTGGTTTGAGATATACCTGGTTGAATGTAGTATCAGACTTAACTGATTGGGCTCAAACCGGTTTATGCAGTTATCTGTCCCAGACCCCTTGTTGGTTTAAGTTAAATCAGACTCCCCCAGCATCCCGGCATGCTGTCTGGGCTGGGCAGGGCTCTCTGCTCCACAGCAGGGCTGCCCCTGCCCCTCTGCTCTTTAGCCTGACCGGGGGTGAGGTGTGGCCAGACCTAGCCTGCTATGAGCTCTGAAGTGAAGGGCAGAAAGGGAAGTTAATTCATTCCTCCATTCTCTTGGACTGCAGCTGAGGTTTAATAGCCCAGCTGCACCTCTGTGGCTTGCCTGCAGCCAGGCAGTAAGGGGATTAATTTCACCTTACTGGGTCTGGGAGAAGGGGGCAAGGAACACTGGCAAGGGCTGCTCTGCCCTGCCCAGCAGACCCTGGTTGCAGTCCCTGCTGGTGAGACAGGAAAGGCAGGGGATAATAAACCCCCTCACTCCTTGAACTCCTGGGGCAACCTGTCCCAAAGGCAGATTAACCACACAAAAAAAAGAATTTTTTTTGCAAAAATCTAGTTGGTCTAATAAAAGATAATCAACTCTACCACAAGCCCTGATTCCTTTTGGCTGTAAGGAGACACTCTGCCCTTGGGATTACATAGGATTTATGCAACGTTTTCTCTTGTCTTGCTGGTTTACATTTTAAGTCAGACAAGTTGTGTATGCCTTGTTTTTCTGGGCTATATTTTAGCTTAGGCAAAGATTTTTGGTAGTTCCCTGATGTGTGCTTGAGGCTGCAAATTGCTGTGTTCAATACATACTTGCTTCAGATAAAGGACTCTTTCCCCATTCCAGTCCTCTGCCCTGCTAGCCCCCTCCCTCCACTCCTGCAGGAAGGGGTGAGAGCTTTGAAGGGCTCTTTCTTGTCTTCCTTTTGGTAGTGGCTGGCAGGTGTGCTCTAGCGCCCCCCGGCTTCTGGCTTGAGCCACTGCAGGCATGTGTCAAATGCCTATCCACTTGCAAACCAGTTCACATTCTGCAGGTTAGACTAACTTGCAAAGACTGAATCAATTCAGGCTCCGGCTATTTTAATGTCTGTCCCTAAACCATGTACTCCCATGCTGTGCCCAGCACATGCCCAAAAGAGGTAGCACGTTAGTTGGACCCAGCTCACCTGACATCTGTATAGATTTTAGTGGCACTTTTTTGGCACTTTTATCTAACAGCTCAGCTTTAGATAAAAGTGCCAAAAAGCCCTGCTGAAGCACCAGATCTATACAGACATTGCAGAGCTGGGTCAAAATAATGTGCTGCTGCTTCTGGTAAAGCATGATTTATTATTTTTTTTAACATCTGCAAGCAGCCTTTTCAAACAAAAGATCAAATCTTTTGTTTGAAAACTGCTTTGGGCCAAATGGACTATCAGTATTTACCTAACATGTGGCTTATCAATTTGTTGGATTTTTAAATCCATGTAATTATTTATATATACATTTAGTTACCTATAATATTGCACTGTATAAAGTATATCCTATTCTAATGATATCAAGCACAATAACTAAAATATTTGCATGCGTTAAATTGTTTTGAATACAACAATGTAGATTTTCACAATTGCAACTAATATTGGAGTGTAATATGCTGTTCTGAAAAAATGCACATCTATCCCAGGCCGCAGCTGCTTCTGCAGGGCCCGCAACAGCGCGTGGTTTGGCCCATCTCCCCACCTGGGGGGTGGAGGTATCCTTCCCTGTCTGCCAGCCAGAAATTCCGACCATGGTCGGATGTGACTGCTGGGCTGCAGTTTTCTGGGCTGTGGCCACTTCCATGCTGTGATTTGCTGGGCCACGGCATAAAAACTTTGGGAACCCCTCCCTTATACATTTTGGGTAGAATTCTCTGTGAATCTAAATGGCTGTTGTCTAGCTGCGTAAGTGGTCGTTTTTGGTAGTTATGCATAGTTTGTGTTTCTTTTGCCCTGTATTACCCATGCAGAATGGATGTGTAAGTGTACATGCACATACTGACCATGCGCAGTAAGCTACACAACAGCCAGGCAGCTACATACACATGCCCAGTATATGCATGAAATGCATATACTGGGCATGCGTGTGGACAAAAACCCCATGACTTATTTGGTGTAAGATGCCAGAAGAGGTAAAGGAAGGCCATCTTATATTTTAACCTCAATAAATGAGTAAGGTAGACACCTGCCTAGGAAGTGGGAGACCCAGCTTGTAGCCTTATCCACTCAGAGAGGGTTTGAACTTACATCTCTGGTATCTAAACACAGTACTCCCACCACCATGCCACACAGTAACCATAGTTTCTTCAAACACCGTTTGCCTGGGCAACCAAAAAAGGAAGATAGATGGGGCTAGGAGCAAAAGCACAACCTATAGGGTGTATAGGCCAGTGAGATCAATATTGCTCTGGAAAGAAGCAGTTCTAGCCTGGACCTTTGCTTTCAATAAGGCAGAAACTTCTCCCCTGCGTTCCACCCGTTCATTTATCCAATGAATACTAGCGACAAAATGCAGGGTCTCACCCAAGTGGTAAACTCTGTTATGGAGGTGAAAAAGAAAACTCAGAAAACAGTGGAAAGTGTGAAAGACACAAACCCAAACAAAATATGTAAAGCTGTTAAAAAGGTTATTAGCAATAAAGTACTTATGCCAGGATGCATCTGTAGGATATGCATATATTAACAGGCAACAAGCAATTATTTAAAAAAAGAAAAGGAAAGAACACAATTATAATAGAAAATAAGGACAATAAAAGAATAGTAAAAAAAGTAAAGCTTGCATAGGTTCTGTGCTAAGAGATTTGTTTAAGAAAATAGCTTATTAAAAGAATGGCAGAGGGTCAGACACTAGCCTCACTCAAACCCTATTGGAATTCTTTGGTATCTAAGTACATCTTAGCCAGAGTATCAAAGAAAAGTTATGCAAAGGTACATAAAGCTGTAGAATATGTATTCATTAGACATGCTATGGTGCCTAGCTATTTCATATTTTGACCTATCTCCTTAATTCCATTAGTAGTATGCAATAAGATTAAAATTAAACATGGTACTTCAGTGCTTACCAGGCAATTAAAGCTATTAGCTATGCATACCGACATAATCAGCATGCTCTTTGTATTTTTGCTGTAGGCCATTTAAACTGTACATGATTCAAAGGGATTCTCCAACATTTTGGTTATAGCACTACTTCAGTGGAAACTAGAGAAAATAATTTCATTAGTGAAATTTTTAATCTTTGGAGGAAGCATTACAGAGGCTATTTAATAAATGGACATAATTTCACTGCCTGAACTGATTAGCCCTGCTTGACAGGGAGGCTGTGTTAGCCCCAGTGGAGTAGTGCCTTGACAAGGATATACTGCTTCTACTACCAGTCTACAGCAATGACTTGTGCCATGTACATATGCCCTGAGTTGCTCTTAGTCTTATACTAGTAAGAGCAGGAGCAGGGTCAGCAACCACTTAAAACCAGTTGAAGTATCAGAGGTCTGTATTTACATTCTCTTGAAATGGATTATTGAACTTTGAACAACCACCCTGTCCTTGCTTACGAGAGCATTAAAGGATTAACATAATGTTCTTTGGCACTTCCCGTGCATCTCCAGCAAAGAAGTCAAACAAAGAAGGATTGAAATTGAATTTAAATAATTTTAGATCCATTTCTGATATCTATGCTCACTTTGCATATTTTTCATGGAATTGCTTGCAGAAGAATTCCATCTCTGTCTTCCTTTCACCTTCACTTACACTCACCTAACATTTGCCTTTAATTCCATCAGCCTTACTGTTCTTGAAATCCTGCCCTTGTGGAGTTCTTTCCATGCCACTTGAACCCCTGCTTTACACAGTTGTTTAGTGAGATTTCCTTCTCTTTTCAGGGTTCCATCTTTGACTCATACTTCTTCTGACCTATTTTGGAGTGAATTTATCTATAGACATGGTTTTGACTAGTTTGACGATGACTCACAAATCTGTTCTCTCTAGATCTCTCCCCCTACATCTAGGCTAAAATCGTGGCGTGCTCCTGGAAGCAGAAGGACAGGCCAAATGCTTTTGCCTTTTTTCATTTAATAGTCTTTGGAATGGAATGGAAACACAGCAGGGGTCTAGCTTCTGCCCGTTGGGTCCAATTCCCACTTTTCTTTCACTTCTACTTCATGTTGCCTCTGGCTTGCTCTCCTGGCCTCCAGCTGTCACCTGGGCTAGATTATGGATCTCCCACTTCCTAGGCAAGTAGTAACCCAGTAGGCTATTTGGCTAAGAGATGTGAGGGCTCTCTACTCCTCCTTTATTTCTGGTAGCTTAATGAAGTTACCTGTCTTCCAGGGACTAAGATCTGCATATGTCCCAAAGGTCACTTATGAAGCTAGCTTTAACAGCATAAATGCTACTTGCCTGTTCGAAAGGGGAGTTGGACTTGGGCTTTTCTGTTGACTTCCTCACATCACTCGGTTGTAATAACTAATAGACAGATGGAGAACATTATACAGAATGCATGATAGTGTAATGCACAGCCATTTTCAGAACTGTGCCTGTGTCTTATGGGTATCTCAGTATACAGAAGTAGGGGGAGAAACAAATCAAGGCAATATAAATCACTGGTAACTGGTATTTCTGAATGCCTGGGTCCAGTGAGGCCTGGTAGCACTGTGAAAATAGCATGCTTATTTCTAAATTACCTGTCCCTCATGCATCAATTTCTCTTGCTGGGTATAACTTTGAGAAATGATTCTTTATGTGATCTATGTATTGGTGACATCACCCAGCAGGTGGTATGCCATCTTCTATGACTGAATCTGTTACTTGGATTAAGTAGTTCATGAATTAACTGCTTATGGTCAAATTCACGAATGCACCTGTAGAGAATCCTGTGCAGGTTCTGAGGGTGGAGCTTGTGTCTGCTTGAGTCTGGGGCCCACAGAAATCAGGTCTCAGATCTGATTAGAACACGGTACCCCAGGGCATCCTTGAAAGGATCTAAGAGCTGCCCTAACATGTACCCAGCTGCCCAAAGGCCCAGCAGATCTTGTAACAACTAAAGATCTTTTAACAACAACCTCTTTGGACCAACATGGTTTCTTAAAATGCTTTACAACACATGTTTAATGTGGATGTTCTACACTGCACAATACTTGACAGGATTTAATAAGGAAATATTTTGGAAGAGTGGTAGAGTAACCCCTTATATCTCTTTCCATATCCTGCTAGCCTTTCTATTCCAAATGTCCTTTTCCTTCAGGGTCTTACTTCCCATCCCCCTCTTTTTTTTCATTAGCAAGTTCGGAATTTCTTCACTTGCTCTTGATGGTCTCTCTGTTCCACAATAATTATCTTCAGTCAGTATTTATTCTAAGATTTCCACTTGTCTTTGTGGTGCCCTCTTAGCTTCTGTTCTGTTTCTTCTTGGTTTTAAATCTGCCACTTTAGCATAATCTTTCTTTTCCTCCTTCCTCCCTGTTCCTTCTATTACTTGTTAGCAACCAAGCACTGGGTAAAATTGTGTCAGAATTGGTAAATTTGCAGAAAAATACAGTTGCTTAAGGACTGAAACTATTTCTGAAATGTCAAATAAGACATTTTGGGGTCAAATCAAATCCTTTATTTTGGCCACTGAACTGAAAATCCATTACTTACAGTTTATTGTAAACTGATATCTAAAATTAGATTATAAACTATTTGGGCTGTATCATATGGTTTCCCTGTTGAGTATCCAATGCATTTTTTGGTGCTGTATACCTGTAATAATATTTCCACTTTTTATATTGTTTGGAAATATATATACTGCAGTTGTATACCTTCTTGAGTTATTTTCTGAAAAATAGAAACCTCATATTCCTAATCTATTGTAAAATTATTTTTAACCCATGGGGCTCTTTGTTGTCCTCTTGCTTTCTTTTACCAAGTTCTTCATGCTAAGTGTTCATTTAAAAGAAAAAAACCCTGCAACACATTGTTTGCTTTTCTAGAATGCAAAATTCTGAAATAATGAATAATTTTTATCCTCTTATGTCCAGTGCCCTCCAAACCTTCATAAGCAAGATGGATCAGCTTGTGATTCTAATCAGGTATGTAACATTTTTAAATCTTTGCAAATCAAGTAATAATAATACATCCAATGTAAGTTCTCATTTCTTCCCTGCTTCATTCATATGTCTTCACAAACTCTGAGTCTGTCTTTATTAATTTTATGGGCTGACTTAGTACTTTTCCTAGTGGTAGTGAGGAATGGCACACCTGTTCATAATAGTTACTAGAGTCTTTGGCTCAGTTTCTCAGCAGTTCCCAATCTGAAGTGGGCACAGGCCAAAAGGAGCTTTATGGAGGTCATCAATCCAAGGTCTTTTGGGGGGTTCAAAACATCCTTAGGGTTGCTCTAAACCAGTGGTTCTCAAACTTGTTAGACTTGAGGCACCCCTCAGAAAATGCTAGTTCTTAGTTTTCACTTGTATTTTCACTACAGAAAAATAATAGAGCAGTTTTTCTGTTGCAAAGATCTCAGAAAGACTACAACATGTGAGGATGTTTTAGAGACTATGAATTCCTATATGAAATCTTTGGGTGTGTCCAGATGAGCACAGACATGCAGTATGTGGTGCTGCAGACCTGTCTGCAATGCCACACACTGCACATGAGGATGTTCCCTGTGCTGTTACTTTGCAGCTCAGGGGCTTTTTTTGATGCTGGGAAATTCTGGGGTTAAAAAAAAACCATACCAAAAGAAACCAGGGTGGCATATATGGCAGCAGTGCATGCCACTCAAAATCAGAGCCTGGCTGGCCAGAGCCACACTCCAGCTGCCAGACAGGCTCCCTGCTCCAGGGGTGCTGTGGTGGAGCTCCCAGAAGCCCCCAGGACCCCAGGTAAGGCTGCTGGGGCCCTACCCCTTTCCTTTCCCCCCTGCCCCTCCTCTGCCCCTTCCCC